ATTAGCAGGCACTGTTACCGTTGCTACATTATTGGAGTTAAATGGTTCATCACAATCAATACATGTGTAACAAGTAAGTGTATCATTTGTCGGAACTATATTTTAAAAAAATTCGCATAATATTTAGAATAAAATAAAGTATTTTTTGTTCCTGAACTAACTATATTTTTTTCCAATAATTACCTGTGAGTGTTGTTGTTGCTGCTTTCGATGTAAATAAAGAACCTATAATAAAAGAGAAACGATTAGCCATTACTATATTTGAGTCTTTAAAATAATTTTTTCGCGTTATACATGTGATATATTATATATTTTCTCGGTACGTACTCATCAATGACCGTATGTCAATTGATAACATGACAATAAACATAGAAAATGATTAATATACGAGCAAGCAGTAGTGGCGCAACCGTTCAAACTTTGGGGAGGGGGATATAAAAAACTTTCTGACTGAAGTAATATGTGTTACAAAAATAACATAGATTTCTAGTTGTTCGTTCTGCATAAGCAATATAGTTTCATAAATGTCACCGCGTAAAAGAAGTGTACATTAAAAAGAAGAGAAATACACAGAAAGTTATAATCTTTTTCCACAGTGTAATTTTCTCACTAGGTATGCTGTAACAAATTTTTTCACTTACGAACACCTTACAAAATGAAAAACACTCAATTTTTACCTTCATTTCTTTTGAGGAAACCTGTTTTGATATACAAATAAAAAAAGTGTCTAAATGCTTCTAAAACCGGAGGTGTTCACGTAAGCAACTATTTATTGAAGTTATGCTTGATACAAAGCAGAATTAATCAAAACTTAGAATTCAGTTATGTGTCTTTAAAATACGGTTACGCTTATACAATTGATACTATTTACCAAAACGAAAATTCTTTGTTGACTAGTTAAAATCTTGCTTAGGTTCCATTGCTTTTCAAAAACGAAGTCGTCACTATATGTAACCTATGATGTTAATGAAAAAGTTTTCGCTGTCCAAGATAGTCACATGCGTAACAGTTGTTCAAAAAAAAGCTCTTCAAACGTAAAAAAAAATTATAAAAGATTGCTGAAACGGTATATCACAGCTCTTAGATCAGTTATGACTGTATCGCCGTTACATTTTTGCAAAGCGAAAAAATTTTGATTTCCCTTTATATCTTGTTCAATTAGAGCATATTTAATCGAGTATTTTTTGGAAAAGAGTTAGCAAAGCCTTGCTTCATTTTTTGTTTTCCAATCTTTTTAGCTGGTAAAAATAATAAAATTTGCAATTATTCGGAAGTGGGTGGAGAAAGATGTCGCATATCACTCGGCAGAGGTACTACTGAGAGCAAGCAACGATTGTAATAATTTTAATTAAGTTCAAAAGATAAAATTTAGTTTTAACGTTTATAAATTTAACTTAATAATTGATAATGTTGCACTTCTTACGATCTGTCTGTTATAAAAGTTTTAGAATTCCAAGTCAAATCGTCCGTTAATATCTTCGAAAAATCATCAAATGAAATCTTACTTAAAAATAACTTACATAAAAGACAAATGACGATATATAAGCTATCCATATGCATTCGTTCGCGCGTCACTTTGATCTATTACAAGCAATATTCAAATGAATAAATCTAATGATTCTCTCAGTTCTTATATGTAGAATGAATAAATGTGACATTCATGTTTTTATATGCTAGTAATGATATCATACCTAAAATAAGTCGTGCATCGTCACTTCCTTCATTTATTTTGAGATTCAAATAACTTGTATGGGTTGTAAAGCATGAAATCAATACAGCATGTTAGAGAAAGAGAGCATATCCATGACGTATTCTTCCAACGATGAGTCGCTGCGTTTTTTTTTATTCATTGAGTCATGGTCTGATTCAATAATTTTTTTCTATACGCAATATCGTTTACAAAAGCAGGTAGAAAAATATCACTGACAGTCTTAAAAACAATCAAAATTTGCATGATGTGGTCCATAATTGTATTCTATTTCAGTGAATTATTAATTATCAGTGACGGACCGAAACATCTTCGACTCTAGCGAACGAAGGAAAAAAGAAAGAAAAAGATAATATCTTGACGTCAATGTTTTTCTGTTTTGCCTAGTCTACGTGAATCGATATACATAGTTTTTCATTCTCTCGTGAATAATTTTACTTTTTCTTCTTGTAGAACATTATGACGCGGTATTACGTAATAGACATTTAGTATAAAGTAAAAAAACCAACGAATGTAAACGAAATATATACTTTTGTCATGTCTAACACCGAAATAACGTAGTAGTCACTTTTGACGAAATAAATAAAGCATTTCATTTTTCTTTATTGAATATTTCAATGCAGATATTCAAAATTAAAGAAAAATATTAGAATTTTAAAATACATTTTTAACTTTGAAGAAGCTTCTTTGCAGCTTTTGTCTTCAATAATACAAAAATATATAACAGAACTGTTCTATGGCAGCCAGATGTCCGCTTTCAGGTCATTTTTGTACATAGTAGCATACAAAATGAAATTTTAAAGACTTATCTATCGTTAAGACTAAATTTTCTTAGAATAACTCTTACCATATGTGACAGCAAATGATTGAATTTCATACTTTACCTTATGGATTGCAACACCAATATAAAACAGTATCGACGTTTAACAAACAATTTAATCTACGAATCTAAAGATAGCGCATAAGCACTTTTTTTGACCTCATTCTATGAAAATTTGTTTTTGTATCTTTCGATTTATTAACATAAACATTGTTCTTCTCGTTTTTTTTTGTATCATGTCAAGCTCAGATACGAACTCTCATTGAACATCATTAAATACTCGTTCTTCATCTTCATCTATCCCTTATTCAACAATTATGTCACCATCAACACTGACAATTGATTCAATACATATTACTTCAACATAATCTTTTTCAACAACACTAAGATGAATTGTACAAGCTCAACGTAGTTTAGTGTGGGAATATTTTAATGTTTTGAAAGATGATGAATTTAACATCGAATGTATTTTATGTTCATCTATTGTTCTTCGTAAGTCAACGTCTACTTCGAATTTATTTCATCACATACAAACTCAACATCATTCTGAATATCAAAATTGAAATAAATCTATGAAATCGCAAATGTGAACATCTCATTTCACATCAAGATTATCTTTAACAATTGATCGATCGATATATTTAACAAAATTTACTGCTGGTTTTGTCATTTATAACTTTCTTCCTTTGTCAATTGTTGAAAACTCTCAAACATCAGCGATTTTTCAAGAAGCCGAGCCATCATATATTATTTCTAAACGAAAATATTTTACAAATAATCATTTTCAAGATATGGACATTGAAGTTCGAGAAAAAGTTTACGATGAATTACAACTAAAACCTAGTATGTCAGTTTATATTCAGTATGGTCTTCAGATTGTCTTTCTCATAATGTTCTAGGTATTTGCTTAACAACAGAGATTTGGACTTCTCAAGTTAATCAAACTTATATGATAGTTACAGCTCATTTCATTGACATGAAAAACAATAAAATAAAAACTTTTATTGTATTAGAAATAAAAGAATTTTACAGGAAATCATACAACTGATCGTATTGTAAAACGATCGGACGAAGTATGTGACGAATGATCTGTTAATAATGAGATTGTTTATTGAGTTTCTGACATGTGCAATACTGTGAGAAAAGTTAATACAGATTTAGAGAAAGGTGTGAATTAATCACTATTCTTAAATGTGGTGATTAAGTAGTTTTTTTTATAGGTTGGGTTGGTTGCATTGATCATTTTATTAGTTTATCTGTCAATGATATTGTTCCAAAGATTGATGAAGTGAAGAATATGCTTGCAACAAATTGATATATCATCTTGTTCACTAGAGAAAGTTATTTGACAAATTAGGTTTTAAATAAGTATCAACAATCACTTGGTATACAAGCTCAATTTGATTTTGTTTCTAGCAGACATGAAATTGAATTTTTATAGGTTTTATCGAACGACAATTGATTTTTGATGTTATTACTAGATGAAATAGTACGTTCTGTATGCACCAACGATTCATTCAAGAAAAAGTTTGTATAACAATATATTTGAATGAAAAGCTGTTTCAAAAACATTTTTTGAATACTAAAGTTTCGAACGTGGTCGAATGAGACCTTCTGAAACACTTGGTGGTAGGATGCCATTGAAATATGAGCTATTTAATTTTTTTCCTCACTTCTATTTGTTTTAGAACCTTTTGAGGCCGCTACACTAAACCTAGCTGCTGATTCTTCACCAACACTAACAATTGTTCAGTAGTGTCAAACTTGAAAGTTGAATTCAAGTATTCAACTATCAGTTCAACTATTCAATTATTGAAAACTTGAAGTTTTCAAGTATTCGGCAGTGCCTCGAGCGTACCCTCAAGGGTACCTCTTCCGGGTACCTCTTCTGGGTACCATCAAAAGTACCTCTTCAGGGTACCCCCAATGGTATCTCTTCCGGGTACTCTGAATGGCACCTCTTCTAGGTACCCTCAAGGGTACCTCTTCCGAGTACCTCTTAAGGGTATTCCCAATGGTACCCCTCGAAGGTACCTCTTAAGGGTACCATCAAGAAAGACTTCACTGTGTACACAGAGACGAGTATGGGTCGCAACGCTGAAATAAAAGGTGTATTAGGTGGAGAAAAGTACTTCCCCACTGAATATTCGTAGAACACTTGACAAGTGAAAATTTGAATAGTTGAATAGTTGAATTCAAGTTTCAAGTTTGACATATATGTCTAGATTTAGATTCTATTCCTTCATTACTCTTAAATAGTGTACTAGTTAATTAACAAGGTGATTCCACCGATCCTGTCAAGACAAACGATTTAATTGATGAAAACAAAGACGAGAAAAACATGCCAAATGAGGCGCATACATTCAATTTAGGTCTTGTCGATTTTCCCGACGTTGCTATTCGATCAAAAGCAGCTAATATGTATCTTGCACGAACAATAAGACAATAGCAAGCACACAAAGTTCATTTGCAGTTATTACAGGAGAAATGCAACGATGAAGACTTACTAGGATTACAGATCGCCAATTACCTTGCAACATCATCGCGAAAGAAGCCGAACGAGTCAAACTTGCATGCGTTTATGGTATTATCGGCCGATGGTGGACAAAAAATGTTTTGGTGAGCTTGACTGCTCTACCTCATGAATTAATCAGGATAAAGCTAAGAGTACGATGCAAGATTGAAACTGCGAGCTTTCTCTTTTTAACTTTGACTTCTTTCCAGT